TGGCTCTGCTGGGCAGAGACTAGAATTGGGTGCCTGGTGTGGGTCAGGGACTGTGCTCCAGGGGGCAGTCTTATGAGGGCAGGTGACTGTGGATACCTGGGGCTGGTGTGTGTATTACCATAGGGACTAGAGTTACCAGGTGGGCAGAGTTCTCGAGGGCAGAGCCTGCAAGGGGGCCACGGTTCCCACGGTGAACCCCTTCATGTGGCGTGTGAGGCCCCGCTGTCTCAGCCTTCCCTACCCCTGCCCCAGCCACACTCCAGATCCCACGCCCTGATCTCCTCCCTCCCTCGCCCCTTCCTTCAGGCCTCCTGGTCTGAGAGGGTGGGTGCCTTGCTATGAGTCTTCCTAGCTCCCAGGTGACGACCCACTCCCTGTGGCCAGTGTGCATCTCACTTCCGTCCTCCTGGCAGCAGGAAGCTCTGGGGAGCCAGGGGTCCTGCTAGCTTGTTGGCCAGGGCACCTCCACACCTGGGGGGGCTGCCTGGCTGCAGCAGGAGGGCAGGCAGCGCTGGGCGATGAGCGGATGAGAGGTGCTTCCTGTTGTGAGCGCTGAGAGTGGGGTGGTGTTCCCTCAGTGCCGTTGATGTTTTAAGGCCGACTGGCTAAGTGAACGGCTTCTGAAACACGCTTGGGAAGGGAATTGTGCTTTCTGTGGGAGAGCAATGAAGAGGCCTAGAGAAGGAGGGGTTAAGGGAAGGACACAGAAAAGGTCAGTACTTTTAAGTGAAACACTTGCTTTCTCATATGACAAAACCACATTCACTCAAGGGAGCATCTGCCAGTTGTAGGAAGACACAGAGGAGGGAAGAGCATCTCCTCTCAGTCCTTCTTGGATCCTCAGAAAGTGTAACTTTGCCGCTGTCGCTTCGGCCTCCTCCTCTGTACCACTGAGCCCGGGAGGCCGGCAGGGAGGGTGAGCCAGCAGCACCCCGGTGTGCAGCAGGTGTCAGCAGGGCCAGATAGTCCTTTTGTGAATGCTGCATGACACCCCGCAGAGGGAGCACAGGACACTGAGATGGCGTCGAGGGGAGCGCTGCGGGTCCCGGGAGAAAGGCCCTCACTGTGCAAATATAGCCACGGGCTACGTCTCTAGCTCGTTTCTTTGCTTCCATTTCTTTTATATATATATATTATTGATTTTGTACAGAGAGGAAGGGAGAGAGATAGCAAGTTAGAAACATCGATGAGAGAGAGTCATCAATCAGCTGCCTCTTGCACACCCCCTACTGGAGATATCCCGCAACCAAGGTACATGCATGCCCTTGACCGTAATCGAACCCGGGACTCTTTAGTCCCCAAGCCACTGAGCCAAACTAGTTTCGGCTGCCTCCATTTCTTGAATGTTGGCTGTCTCTTTAGAAAACAGGTAATGTAGGAAGTAAGCCTATAAGGTTTTCTAAAAATTTTTAAATGTTTTGTTTCCAAACTGTGTGTTATGCTCAACCTTTAAAGAACATGTATATCCTGCGTTCCCGGTGTCATCCCCACCATGCTCTCAGTACGGGGTGTTGATGGACACGTTTGTGCACTGGAGGAGGAACTCTGGAAATGTAATTTATTATGTGACTTGGTTGAAAGGTCACGTTACAGGAAATCTTCCTAGGGCTCTATTGTGGAGTCTCCTCTGAGACTATGCCCTTTGGCCACTCCTTCATGTGCTTCAGAAAGACAGTCTTCCTTCCGAACTGGCCGAGAAGGCTCCTGTCTTTATTTCCAGATGTTTAGCAGCAGAAGGCTCAGGTTAGGTTCGGGTCTCCCGAGTCAGTCCGTGGAGGAAGCCTGGAACTGTCTGAGGTGTTCTGCAAAAGCTTCCACTTCCTGAAAAACATGGGACTTTGGACCCAGGCTCCTGAGATTAGGAAACAAGGTTGTTCGTGTTTGCTGTCACTGATGGGTCATTGTGCTGATGTCAGCGTGTTCAGTCTGGGTTTCAAGAATAAATCTGATGTTTGCATGAAGAAGCTGATTGTGAAACAATCTGTGTTTCAGTCCAAGGCTAAACTAGTTCACAAGCAAAAGGCACTCCGGTGCTGTAGGCTGACTTTAACCCTCAAATGTATGTAAAACTGGCACACTGAAATTGATATATAATTGTGCTTTCAATCTTTTGGCTTCAATTTTTTAATTGGTCAGGTCAGGGCTAAATCTGGATAAAATTTTCACATCACAAATTGTGAAAAGTGACATCTTAATAGTTGAGTTTATATTAGTGTTTATGTTTTTATCAGAAATTAGAAAAACTCCCAGGTGCTGTGAAGTCTACTAAGTCAGCTTCCTGATAGAAGTATCTGAATGTGGCCTGGAGTGGATTATCCCTTCCTGTCCTCACTGGACTCAATTCCTTGGCTTCCAGAGTACTGTCACCCCCTGCTGGCCAGTCCTGGAACCACAGTCTCATAACCCAGATGTATGGGGAGACCACAGGTGGAGGGGCAGGTACAGTGCAGAGTGGTGATTCTGCAGATGTCAGGAGAGAATTCTCTGGGAGACCAGGTCTCCCAGCCTGTGATGTGGGGAAGGCTGTGCAGAACAGAGGGCATATGCCCCCTCTTGAGGGCTGGATGAGACTTTCTCGTACACGAACCTGGAGGTGGGGGAAGGTCAGCAGAAAGGTTGTCCCAGCAACAGGCAGCGCTGTGTGAGGGAGAGCAGATCAGCAGGCAGCACTGCACGAGGGTGGGGGCCTGTTTCTTGGGTTGGTGTGAGGGTTGGGGACTCACAGGGCTGGGGACTCACTAAGGGTGACTGGGTCAGGTCGAGAAGGGTCTGTGCATTGGGGTAAGACGCTGAGACGTCTCCAGAGGCCTGAGCACATGCTTCTTGCTTTTCTCTGGAAAATGGGTCACCATGAAGACAGGCTTCCACATAAATACAGTTAAGGTTGAATTTAAGATAAATAATGAACAATTTTTTAGTAGAAGTCTATCCATATGATTACATTATTCAGTGTTTATCTGCAGTTCAAATTTAAGTAGGCATTCTGTGTTTTATTTGCTACATCTGGCCACCTTAAAAGATCATCATAGAGCAGAATGTATTATCGGATGAACTCTTATCCTTGGATATTAACCCAATCATAGCTTGAAATTAATTAAAGCAAAGATGTAACCAAAATTATGTTGTTAAAGCAAAGATACAAGAATTGTAAACCTCTGTACTGGCTAAGATTAAGTTATGCTTTTAACTTGTAAAGCGGGTGTAAAATGCTGTTTGCCCTCAAGGGCATGTATTCAATACATCGGTTGCGGGCACATCCCTGGTAGGGGGTGTGCAAGAGGCAGCTGGTCGATGTTTCTCTCTCATCGACGTTTCTGGCTCTCTCTCTCTCTCCCTTCCTCTCTGTAAGAAATCAATAAAATATATTTTTAAAAAAACTTTCAGAGGGTTTTGCCTTGGTCCCTTTCCTCCTGAGACTCCCCTGAGGCAGGCAGAAGATGAAAGTACTTTGGTGCAAGCGTGTGCATGTGTGTTTGAAATTTTATTCCCAGGAATTTAGGGTCTGGAGAACAAGCATCCTGAGAGTCTGTCTCTTTGGTATTTTCTCCCCTATTGTCCCTGCTTCCCGCAGCGTGCTGGATGGTGTGCTGGGGAAGAGCGGAGATGGTGGCCCAGTCCTTGTCGCTGGGGATGGCTGGGGCGCGGTGCCGGATGTGCCGGGCTGTGTGGGTCGGGGCCTGGGGTTTCCCAGTGGTCCAGCCATGACTCACCAGCCTGCCTCTGGGACTCCTGCTCCCTGGACTGCTGCTATCTAGCTGCTTGGGCCTGTCAGGCTGGGCGGGGGGAGGGCTGGACCAAGCAGGGACACCTATACCCAAGGGGCTCATGCTTCAGGAAGTTGAGAGGGTGATTCCTGGCCTCCATGTGAGCTGACGCTGTGGAGCATCCCCCTGCGGTAGCCAGGCTTTCAGAATCGCCCTCGCCCATGTGTGGGTGCTCCTGGCTTTCCAGGGACTCTCTTCCTTTCAGTCATATGGTGTAAGACATTAACTATCACTTATGTAGACTCAGTCAACGACTTGCCTAAAAACAACAAGCACCCTTTTTCCTGTAAAACAAAATGAAGCCAGAACTTCTAAAGAACTCAGACTCATTACTGATAACAGTTCTAGGATTTCAGCTGTGAGTTTTGGTGAGAGCCACAGGGCAGTCATCCTCGGTCACAGGAAGAGGCAAGTTTCCTTGGGAACCAAATATTCCCCATCTCCAGGAAGCGGATGTACAGAAACTGTAACGGCCAAGTTTGTGTTCCTCACTGTTCACGGGGACACAGAAACGTACCCAGATTCTCCATGCTGTAACCTATGGCATTTACAAAGCCATAGCCTGCATCTCCTAATAGCCGCTTGGGACTTTTGGTAACTAACAAGTCAGACGCTGATTCCTGGAAAGTGCTGTGAGTCATGCCACACTGGTTTTCTCTGAGTAGAAATCTGATTTTTTTCCTCCCAACACCAGCATTTAAATGACGTATCTAACCATGGGCTCTGTTCAGATGGGCCCTGTGGTCAGGCCAGCAGCACAGAGTGAGCCCCCTGCTGCCGCGTTGTGGGAGTGGGTGCTGCCAAGGCCCCTCCCCTGGTGCAGCCACCATAGGCGGTGGTGAGCGGGCCGCGCCAAGCTTGGGTGGAGCCCAGGGTGTTATGGAGCCATCCCTGCTGCCCCCTCAGAGGCCACTTGGAGGTTCTGCCTGTGGCTTATGCCTGCCTACCCCCTTCACTTGCTGTCCCTGGCTGCCAGACCTCTTGCTTTTAGATGGTAGTGTCACCCCAAATACACGCAGATCATTCACTGGGTCTTTGAGCCTTCAAGGAGGTGTAGAACAGGGCTTCAGAGTAGGGCTGTACATACATGAATGAGGCTGGGCAGATGCACCCACCCTCACACAGGTGACACAGGGGTGGCACCCTCATCGTGGGAGGCCTGTTGTCTGTATTTAATGTGGGAGCATATTTCCTGGTCTGTTTTTCTGACCGTAGGCATGTCTGTCTCCATTATAGGATTGGTAGCCATAAAGGATGCCCATGATATAGAGACCAGGCTCAACGAGGTGGAGAAGTTGCTGAAGACCATCATAAGCATGCCATGTAAGGTGAGTGGGTCGGGTCCAGCTGGGTGGGACGGTGACACATCCCACCAGCATCCACGTAGCTGTCCTGCTGGCTCCCTTGGCCATCTGCCCCTCCCTGGAAGGCCATAGGGAGGTGGGTGGATAGACCCAGGAAAGAAAGACTTGGATGAGCTCCAGTACCTCCATAGTTTCTTCCCTGGGCAAGTGGAAGTGGGGGGGTGGGCAAAAAGGTGTTGAGTAGGGAGGGAAGGGGGCCTCCGCTACAGTGGTCTTGGCTTTCCTGCTTCCATGCAAAAGGCCTTGCTGAGGGTGTCTGAGGAGAGGCCTGAGGAGTCCGAGGGAGTGTTGGCCTCAGCAGTGGCAGGAGGATAAACAGCTTGCAGGCCTGGGTGCAGTGGTGATGAGGAACTGGCTGCGTCAGGCGACCACCTTACTCCTGCAGGCTGTTGCCTGCCTCATCTGTGGGTGGGAGAGTCAGGGCGCTCAGTTTACTGTGAAGTGAAGGGAGCTGTGGGAAACGCTGGCCATGCAGCACTGAGAGAAGCTAGCCAACTTCTGGCACCCCGTCCTGCAAGTCCTAGAGGCCTTACGTTCCAGCCACATGTTCATAAATAAACGAGGTCAGCGATTGCAGCCTCTTCCGCATGGTTGGTCCTGTGAACAGCTCTGGGTAGCACTAGATGGGCCATCTTGTAGAGGACAGATTTTAGTAATTATCCAATTTCTCCCCAGTATTCTAGGTCAGAAGTCGTGCTCACCTTCTTTGAAAGATCTCCTCTGGATCAGGTGCTAAAAAATGACAGTGTACATAAAATTCAACCCAGCTTTCAAAGTCCAGTGAAAATATCAGGTAAGAGCTACAGGGAAGGCCTGGGGGAAATGCCGCTGGGCTTTCTGGGAGCCTTTTCAGTGTGGTGCCTGCGTGGCTGTACCCCGCCTGCGTGCGTGTGTCGTGTGTCTCCCCCCCCCCCCCCCCCCCGGGCTACAGAAAGACAGCCCAACAGACGGTGAGCATTGTGAGTAAGAGGCTACTACCAGATCCCTATGAACAGTGTTTTCTGACCTGGAGTTCACACTCCCCCTCCATCCTAAAGGAGTTACTTGGCATATAAATTGGAGCTTAAGAAGCAGTATAATGATGAAAACATTAATGAGACATTTCTGAAGCAAACTTCTAAAGTCCGTAGTCTAGCCTGCTGAAAACGATAGTTCGCATAATGTGGCATTGAGTTGTTCTTAGTCTAGGGCAGCCGTGGCCAAAGGGGAGCACACAGTCTAGGTATTACTAGTGTTGATAAATTCACCAAAACATTCATGGGAGAGGCAAGGTCAGCAGCAGTAAGCAATCGTGCACTGAGTGGAGCGCTGGACAGCTCGCCTGTGGGGTCAGGTGAACGGAAGGGGCCCTGGACGTCACCCTTTGTGGTGGCTTTCTAAGGCTGGTTGTCCTGTCATTAGAACACGGTTGCTTTCTGCAATGCTGTCTGCGAAGGCCGCTGAGGGAAAGAGCTCCGCCCAGGGTCTCAGGCAGGCACCGGGCTCCCCCAGGCCGCAGGCAGTCCGCTTGTTTTGGCCTAAGAAGTAGCATTTGAGTGGAGTGTGGCAGGGTTTGCCAGGTGGGAAGGGAGGGCTGTAGGCTAACTGTGAGGGCCTGCAGAGCATCCTGGTCTGTAGGAAGGAGAGGAGGCATTCTGGAGGAGGAAAGAAAGAGGCGGAGTGGAGGAGCAGGCCCCTGGAGGAAGAGCCCAGAGCCGGCTCCTAAGAAGAAATTGATGGTCATGGTGAAGGGGACATGGTGAAGCCAACCTGGAGGGTGGCGTTGGTGGAAAAGTGTCCTTACTGAGTTCTGTGCCACAGTGGGGACGAGAGTCCTCATTGTGTGTTGGTGAGGTGGGCAGGTGGGCCAGGTCTGGGGACCGGGATAAAGAAGATACTCCAGGTATGACTGTGTGAGGATGGGGGGAAGCCTGGGTTGTGTGTCTGCTGCTTTTGCTGTCTATGCAGCTTCCTGTGTATTCCTGGCAAGAGGAGCAGCAGTCAGAGCTCTCCTCCTTCATGGCGGAGTGAGGGTAGCTGCCATTTATCCTGGCAGGTGTCTGTGGGCTCCAGCTCGGAGGCTCGGAGGGCTCTGGGACCTGATGGGCCTGATTGCCAGTTTGCATGCTGCCAGATGGAGTGGGGCAAGCTCTGTCCTCAGAACGCGGTGGAAGGGTCCCAGCACTGGTGTCCCTGCTCTGCTTCAGTTCTCTCTATGTTGAGCAAGTGGGAGAGCAAAGAGCAGCACAGTCCTCTCAGGACCGGGGTAGGCACAGGAGCTGGTGTGCTTCAGGTTGGCCCCACGTGGAGAAGGCCAGACTCGGGCTGGGTGGCGTGGCCTCTGAGTACCTCCCAGAGTGCGACCGCGTGGAACATCCCAGCCCTCTTAGCGGCCTGTCTTATCAGTGACGGTGACGGGTAAATGCAAGGCCACATCTGCCTTAAGGAGCTGAGAGGGCTGAGAGGAAGGGATGGCGGTAGAGTCCCATGCTGACGTGTTAAGTATGTTCTCCATGTTTTCTCAAGAGGACTGAGGACAGAGGCTTTGGTTTGCACTGTATGTGAGCCTCATGAGGCCTTGCCTGGCTGACCAGGGACACAGTGTCCGGTCTAGGGAGGTAGGGTGCTGACCTCGTGCCAGTGGGAGCCCAGGTGGTGGTGGTGGGGGGGCATGCTCTGCCTTGGGACATAGCAGTCACTGCCCCCAGTGTTGGCTCTGCACAAAACACTTTGTAATAAATGGGCTGCCAGAAAATGGAGTTTGTAAACTTCTACTGCAAGTCGGTCTCCGAAATCCTCCAGCCAGCGGCCCATCCTAGGAACCTGTGTGCGGGGTGGCAGGCTCGGGGAGCATCAATCGAACCCTTTCTGAGCTGAGTCTCTGACATAAGGGGTGTCCTCCTCTTCTTCTGCTCTCATCAATGGAGCCCGAAGTCTAGGAGTCTCCCTTTGAAGCTTCCCAGCGCAGACTAGTGTGTAGGTGCGGGAGGGGTTGGGGGTGTTCCACGGAGTGGGGTGCACGCTCATTGCTCACTGCTCGAGGAGATATATGGACAAAGACAATGCACCGTGGCAAATTAGGAGACACTTCCCAGTGAAACTGCGGTTTGTGGTGGCACCGACATCCCTTTGAAGAATGAGTGTACACGTTTGCCAGTGGGGCCTTTCGGTCTCCATCCCATATTCTAAGGTTGCTGCATTCAGGGGTCCCTCAGGCCTGAACATCCACAGTGTCTCTATCAGCCTCACTTGTCCCTGGTTGGTAGCCTGAATACTGACTGGTCATCCCACAACTCTGGCTTCCTGAGCTCAGTAATTTCTCGCAACTTGGCATCCACAATAAAACACAAGGCCCCCATCATTCTAGGCATTTCTGAGTCTGGCTGGCTCCAGCTTTCTGATTTTGTCACCACAGCACCCTCTGCTGCAGACCCTCCACCACTTCCTGGCTGGGCTTGGCTCATGCTGTGTCTGCCCCTCCACATCCACTGCTGTCCTGCTAAATTCCATCCATTCGTGAAAATGACCTCGCTTGCTGCGACTCACCCAGCCCCTCCTCCTCCTCTCTCCGGAGATTTCCTAGTGCCTTCTCATGCCACTGACATGGTATTTAGGGGGTAGGTGCCATGGGAACGGACCCCCTTGCTCTTAGAGGCTGCTCTTCACACTGGTGACAGGTGCATCAGGCCTCTGCAGGCACAGCCTCCTCTCTAATCTTCAGACTGTGCTGTGGCCACGGGCTCCACTAGGTGGCGCCAGGCCCTGGTGGTGCGAGAACCATGCCAGGTCCTGGGCCTACAAGGGCAGTGGATTCTCTGGTGATGCTTTGGGTCAGTACAACCTCAAACAGTCCTCATCCCATGTTAATCTAACTACTGTCAAACATAAGAAATGTAGAATATATGAATTAATGAACTGAAGGACTGATAACATATGGAGCACTGGAAACCATGGCTGCAGTTAAAAAAAGAAAAGCATTAACACAGTAGTAATTATTGCAGAAAAGATCTATCAATAGCTGCTAAGACTGGTGGGAACCGTTTTAGGAGAAATAGGATTTGCAGAATCTCGACGCACCTCCCTAAAGGCATTCCTTAACCATCAAGAGAAATGCAGAAACCTTTGGGGAGACTGGCAGAACCTCCTTATGCAGGTGATCCAGGCCCACATCGCAGGAGTGAGGTCAGTGACATCACACACGGGCTCCTGCTAGACTAACCACTGTGGTCAGAGCTCACGCAAGTATCAGGGACATCGAGGGAAAATAACTTACCAGCCTCTTCAAAAGTGTCACGGTCATCAGAAATGAGAATAGACTGAGGAAGTGTCAGAGGTCATAGGAGACTAGGACACAACAGCTTAATGCACAAGGAGTCCTGCGTTGGGTCTGAAACCAAAAAAGCTGGTGAAACTCAAGGGAGAGAGATGCTCAGGTAACAGACCTGTGCCATGTAATTTCCTTCGGTTGGTAATCCTACCACAGTTACCTACAGGGTCCACATCAGGAGAAGCTGGGGAGGGATATGTGAGGACTCTGTACTGGTCTCACAACTTTTTTATAATACTAAAATTAGCTCAAAAATGAGAAATGGAAAAGCAGGACTCTACTTAATGTGAAAAAATGTAGCTTGAGAATGCACCATTTCATAGAATCAGTCATGCATGTGATTAAGTTGGCCAGTGATTTTTTTTTTTACTGTAGGTATTAAGCTGACTTTTAAGAAATTAAAATGTTGTAATTTTTCTGTCATCACAATACTGCTTTCGTGTTTTTTTTTTTAATTTTTATTTGCATGACACAGCAGATATGAAGACATTAGCAACCACAGTAATAACTATCATTTCTCAAGTACCAGGTGCTTATTCGGTCTTTACAAATACCACCTCGTTTAATTTGTACTGTGCCTTTTGGAGTGGATACTGTTGTTCCCATTTTACAGAAGAAGAAACTGACTGAGCAAGAAGTAACCTGCTCCCCAGGCAAAAGTAGCAGAACTGGTGTTTCCTCAAGAGCCCAGATGGCCTTGCGAACAATTAAACCACATTTCTGTGCACAAAGGCTGAGCACAGGGAGCTAAGGAATGGTTTGCCTCATGTCTATTTTGAGGGGACTGGTCAAGATTCCAATTTTTAGAGCTTCAAGTTTCACATTTAAGAAAAATGAGAAAGCTCTAGCCGGTTTGGCTCAGTGGATAGAGCGTCGACCTGCGGACAAAAGAGTCCCGGGTTTGATTCCACTCAAGGGCATGTCCTCAGTTGCAGGCTCCTCCCCAGCCTGGGCCCTGGTTGGGACTCGTGTAGGAGGCAACCCAATGTTTTTTTCTCACATCGATATTTCTCTCTGTCTCTCCCTCTCTCTACCACTCTCCCTAAAAAAATCAATGGAAAAATATCCTTGGGTGAGGATTAATAACACAGCAAAAAACACAAGAGCAAGAAAGATTAGGGAGTTCCTTTACAAGGTATTTCTTCGGAAGGTTCAGAAGTGTTTGAAGCACTGACATTTGTTTTTACTGTAAGGTTCCCCATCCCCTTGGTTGCGGGTGGGGTGGAGAAAGGTGCGGGGGCCATCTGCTGACTGTGCTGACCTCACTTTGAGGTCTTCTTAATGAAAGTAGCTAAAGAAAGTGTTTTTTATTGTTTTCATTAGGGCTCCCCTATGTTTGAAATGCAGGGGGAGGGAATCTTAGTCTTTCTGCTTAAGTTAGTCACCTTCAGAGCCACTCGGGTTCCAGTAAACATCTTCTTGCGCCTTCTCACAGCTGGGAAGTAATTGGCCCTGGAGGTTCCCAGTGCCCATGTTGTTGGTCTTTGCTCCTTCTGGGGACTTGCAGGCTCTCTCGCTGGTCATGCAGGGAGGTGGCGGCTCTGCTGGGCCCGCCTAACATCACCAGGAATGGGACAGGCTGAGCTGGTGCCGAGAAATCCCACCCGGGAAATGCAAGCTGTCGCCTCTCCAGAAAGCCATGTGGAAATTTTAGCAACTAATTACTTGGCAAATCTGAACAATGACTTGTCATTTTAATTCTGTAGGGATGAGGAGGAAATCTTAAGCTTTTCTTTCTTCATTTTTGTATAGTTTCCCTAATTCTCTTATGGAGAGAAATTTAACAAACTGAGAACCAAATACCTGGAAAGATTAAAAATAAGCTTGGAGTTACAATTCCACTTATAAAAGCAAATCTATGCATGGGAATAAAACAATCAATAAGTTATGGTCAGATGTAAGAAAAAGTAAATCTCCCAAACAACAATGTGCCAGGTGCCCAGTGAGCTGGGTGCCCTCGCTGCCTGTGCCATTCGGGGGAGGAGGGCCGTTTGGAGCTGCGTGTCTGTGTGTTAGGCCCTGACTGGGAAGAGGGTAATCCTTTGGAAAACCCTTTGAATTTGAGAATGCACCAGAAACTTTCCATTTGAGGGTACTGAGTCCCCAGATCATAGAGCCGTGCTGGGCTGAGCCCCAGCCCTTTGGTAACAGCTACCACGCCCTCAGGCACCGCCTTCCACCACTTCCAGCGCCCAACAGCCCAAGGCCTGTGCCCTCGGAAAGCTAACACCACACAGCCAACAAGACATATTTTCTTTGTGGGCCTTTTACATCATCAAAGTTTGTGCTTGTTGGTAACAAGTCAATTTACATGGCAGAATGAGAGAGAGTGAAAAGTGAAGTTGCCCATTTGGTTTAAAATGCACACTGATCTCATTGGATCCATGCAGCATCCCTGGGAGGGGGGCTGTGGGGGGGGGGGGGGCGGACGGTACGCCTGAAGGTGCTGCCCTGCCTGACAGATGGGAGCTCAGAGCCCTGCAGTGAGCCATGGACCAGACCGGGTCTCAAACCAGACGGACAGATGTGGGCTCAATGCTCCAGCCTCAAACGCATGGGGAGGGTGTGTGGGAGAGAGCTCAGACATGCCTGGGGAGAGAGGTGCCTCCACTTGCACAGGCTGGCAGGTATGGCTCTTGTGAGGCTGCGCCAGCCTTGGAATCGTGTGCAGGACTCTAGGGTTGGATCCAGCTGCACCTGTGGGTGCAGAGTGTTCCTCTAAAGTGGGGGAGACAGGGCGGCAGATGGAGGGGGGAGTCTGCAGATTGGTGTAAGCTCCAAATTTTAAAACTTAAAAACCCGACCCATCCTGAATATTTACCTTTTTCCTTCATTTTCAGAGATCATGAGGTCCAACGGATTTTGTTTAGCAAATACAGAAACTATCGTTATCGACCACAGTGTACCAAACGGAAAAGAGCAGCACCTGGGTGTGGATCCGACGGAGCATTTGTGAGTACACTGGTCTGAATGTCGTTTTACAGATGGGATCCTGGAGCGGTCGGCTAGTTCACCCCGTGTGGAGCTCTGTAGGCAGGAACTACCTGTGCCCACAAACACCACGCCATCCTGCCTGCATTTGGACACTTATTTGGAGAGCTTGGCTTTTCTAGAGGACATAAGACCGTGGTTCATAAACCAGTGAGAACACAGTTCCTTCGCCCAATGGCTGGCTAAGTGGCCAAGCTTCAGGGGTGGTCTGTGCTGGGCCCTGAGGGGGTACCAGGCCCACAGCCTCCTTGGTCCCAGGCTGGTCTCCTGGGGTGGGGAGAAACGGCACCTGCACTTCGGCCTCACATCACAGGGCTAGACGTTCTCCAGGCGCCCGGTGCAGGGGCCTGGCCCAGGGCCCCGCGCTGAGGAGGGGAGGATGAGTAACTAGCGAAGGTGGGACAGCCTTCTCCGCTCTTCCTCTCTTTTAGCAGAACTTTGGCCACGAGTGCTCTGGGGAAGTCGGCACGGGGCCCCTTGAGGCACAGCCGCCTTCTCGGGAATTATCAGACAGCAGCTTCAGGGGGTCATGGCATGGCTTCTGTCGACTGTCAACACAACCGGGGTTGTGTGAGTGTCCGGAAGTGAAGAAGCCTCCCCTGGCTCCTCTGAATCTTTAAAGCAGGACCACTGTGTCTCCAGCGCCCGCTGTGCAGACCTCAGGTCACAGGGCGCACAGCTGGCCCAGGAGCCCGGAGGCAGCGCTGGGAGTGAGTCCCCCTGTGGCAGGAGAAGCACACCGAGGGCAGAGGGGCTGCTCAGCTCCCCAGGCCCCGGCCCATCCACTCCACAGAAAACAAACCTGGGCTGGGACAGACTCATGCTGAGACTCCCAGGCTAGGACTGCAGGACGCAGTGTGACCCCAGGATGTGACAGCCCCGGGTCGGAAACCCTGTCAGCCCCAAGAACGGGCTCTTTCTTAGTGTCCAGATGTCTCTCAGGTGTCATGGAATGCTGGCGAGGCCGAGGGGCCCTCCTATGTGTGTGGAGAGCGCAGTAGTTCCTGACGTCACGCAGGGCTGGCGTAGGGGAAAGCCCTACAGTTTGACATGGATCCCAAGTGCGCTCTTGCAGTGACCTGCTGTGCTCTCTCCATCTGGGTGGCGCTGGGCCAACGAGCCAGCCGCAGCCCTCACCTTTGTCTTTCCCATTTCAGGTTTGAGAACGGCAGTGAGTTCACCTCTGAGCCGGAGGATGGCGATGACCCAGCAGCTTATGACACCAACCTGTCCTATTACCACCTGGTCCCCTTTGAGACGGACATTTTGGACTGAGTCTTCACGGGGCCACCTCCTCAGCCTTCAGCTGCTGGTTCTGCTTCTGTTTCCCACTGGGGCCACCCGTGCCTGCACTGACTGAGCACGGCTCTGCTGCCAGGCCCCGCTCAGCAACCTGCGCCCGAGGCCTGTCGTCTGGGAGTGGGGCAGGGGGGTTTCTGGGGTTAGCACCGACCCCACGATCTCTGACAACCAGGGATCAGGCCTGGGAGTCCACGACACCTGCTGCTGAGGAAGGGCCTCTCCCACTGCACACCCGGCCCGTTTCTGCATTCCTAGGACTCCCCCCGCCCCCCACTCCCCCACCGTGTGGAGGAGCCACAAGTGCCTGCAGGACATCACGATGCAAGGGGACCGCCCAGGGCCTTGCTGGGTTCATTTTCGCCTGTGACCGCTTCCTGGGAGAAGCCTCCTCCTGGTGCAGGGCCAGGGCCAGGTGCCCCTCCCTGCCACCCCCAGCACCACAAGCACATGGAACAATCTTCTTGAGCCCTTGTTGAGCCCCAAGTTCAGGGGGACATAGGCAGGGCATCTTAAGTAACCAGCCTTTTCCTGAGAAGCAGGGTGTGTGGCCTCCATTTGTTTTCATCTTCTGTCTGGAAACTGAGGGCTGGCTTTGTGTCAGCCACAGTGGGTGTTTACAGAAGGGGATTGTGGATGGGGACGGGAACGGGGCTGAGCTAGTGATTTTCCTCAACAGGAAGAGAACCTTGCCTGGCAGGCCAGCATCTCTTCAGGGCCATGGTGCTGTGGCCACCTGGGCCCCCGAGGTTTGTCTCCTGGCTCCCAGCTCCCCACCATGGAACCGCCATAGTAACGTGAAGGAAGAGAGTGAGAGGAAAGCCACACAGTTTGCCCATTTCCCTCTGCCCTCAGGGAGGGCCTGGGGTCTGTGTGCTTATCTCCTTTATTTCTTCACAGTGTCTACTAAGGACCAACATTTGTAACAATGTAAATATTAATAAATTATTGAAGTCCTAATTATTTTACACAGTCTGTTTTTAAATCTATTTTAATGAAATAAAATATATTACTCTCCTTTTATGGACGTAGTGTTTGTGTATAAAGGTCTGCCTCCTTTTATTCCCTCCAGGGAGGGTAGAAGCCTAACCCTGCCCTCAGGTGTTTGGGTAATTGTGTAGGGTTTTCCTCTTCTCCATGTTCCTCTCTGGAACACGTTCTGTGGCCCAGCAAACCTGTTCTCTGTCCCAGCTGCACATGTGGATTTCCCTTCTGCCTTCCAGCTGTGCTCAGTTTGCTGCATCCTCCTTCCAGGGAGGCTGTTAGGTGGCTGATGGGGGTTGATCAGTTGCCTTCCTTCTCTTGAGGAATAAAATTCCCTTCTGTCCAAGGATAGGGCTGGGTGCTTAGCAGTTAAGGTTAGAATCTATCACCAAAGAAGTGAAAACATATGTCCACACAAAGACTCAAAAAACCAATTTGCTCATGTATTCATCCAGTGGGTATTTCTACAATGCCTGTGTCACTGAGGGGACACTACTCGCACCGGAAACCTAGGCTGCCTGGCGAACAGGGTGGGGAGGTGTGAGTCCATGCTCTGAATCACTCCCAGTGAGCTGTGAGAGGCACCTTACACTCTCAGGAGCAGCAAAGCTAAAGCCGTATATGAAAAGGCTCCGCTGTGGAGCAGGCGGTGGTGTCCACAGGAAGCCGCCGCAGAGCTCTGGCCCTCAAATGCACACATTGTAGGGACTCCCAGAGCTGCAAGCCAGCTGACAGGCCGAACTGCGAGGGTTTAATCTTCTGGAAAAAAGAGAAAAAGAGTATTTGTAACAGCAACATACTGCTGAAAAGATTGCCTCCATGTTTACATCTGGCTCTGTGCTTTCTCCTCTGTGAACACAGTAGCATCCTAGTGTTACCAGAGATTGCGTGGCTTGCCTTTCTCCCTCCGTGGTTGCCTTTCTGTTAGTGGAGAATTGCGTGGATTGCCCTTCTCTACTGCTAGTGGGAGTGGAGTTCTAGGGGTGCCACTGGAATAAGCATTCCAGAGGCCCCCACGGGAGGATAAGAGGTAGAAAGCTTTATTTGTGTTGAATTACATCCCCTGGGTTGCAAAGTTGCATTTCCCTTAAACCAGTCCTGGAAGAAGCTCAGCTAGGGGTTCAGCAGAGCTAGAAGCAAAGCCAGTGTCCAGAGTTTCCCTTCCATGGTGGGGCCGAGTCGGGTACAGCACCAGACTGATTCCAGCCCACCTGTCCATTGTGTGGGCGAGTGGAGTGTGACAGCCCACAAGCCAGGAGTCAGGTGCAAGCAGCAAGAGAGGGAACTCCCTTGTTCAGGAGCTCATGTATCTCGGACTTCACACCCTTGCAGAGGTCACACCTATTCCTTTTTTTCTGGACAAGGATTACAATTCCATGATTTTTAGTAAATTTACAGTTAATGGAGTCATCACTACAATCCAGTTTTAAATTTTCCTCTCCCCTTCAAAAGATGCCTTGTGCTTGATTTCAGTCAGTCTTATTCCCATTCCCAAAATCAGGCAACCATGGTGCAGGCTTTCGGCCTTCGTGGGTTTGCTTTTCCTGGACATTCTATAGATCACATAGAATGCAGTTTTTTGTTTGTTTGTTTGTTTGTTTTTTGTCTAGCTTCTTTCACTGTAAATGTTGCTAGGATGCCCATGTCATAGCAGGTGTGAGTGCTTTATTCCTGTTGTGTGCAATAGTCCATTGTATTACTGCACCACACGTGGTTTATCAATCATCAGCTGGTAGACACTTGGTCTGTTGACACTTTTTGACATTGTGAGTTATGGGGCTGTGAACACTGGAGCTAAAGTCTTTGTGTGGGTATCCATGATTCTTTTTTCTTGGGTACATATCTATGAGTGGAATCTTTGGGTCAAATGGTACATTTATTAACTTTTTAAGGAATTGTCAGTCTGTTTTTCAAATTGGTGTTTTATATGTATATTCTCTCCAGCCTGTTTGAAGGTTCGTTTCTTTCTCCTGATAAGACTGGGTATTGTCATTATCTCTGATTGTAGCCATTCCAGTGGCTGTGAAATGGATTTGATTTGCATTTCCCTCATGCCTTCTGATGTTGAGCACCTTCTCCTGTGCTTATTGACTGGCCATTCATTAATCTTAGATGGAATGTGCAGTCATATCTTTGCCCATTTTATTTTATTTTGAAATAATTATAAATCACACAAAGTTGCAGAATAATAGAGAAGTCATGTGTACCCTACACTCTTTTTGTCCCAGAGGTAACATCTTACATATTTTATTATATGGTCAAAAGAAGGAAATTGACATCAGTACAGTCCATAGACTTAATTAGGGTTTTTAATCTGTTTTACACAGACGTGTGTGTGTGTGTGTGTGTGTGTGTGTGTGTGTGTGTCCAGGACGTTTTCTCACATGTATAGATTTGTGCAGCCACCACAGTCAAAGTATGAAACTTGTTATTACCTCAAAGATCTCCCTCATGCTACTCCTTTATACTGAAATGCACCACCCCTACCCACCCGTCACTAAGCCCTGACAACCACTAATCTGTTCTCCATCTCTATAATTTCATCTTTGAAAGGTGAAATAAATGGGATCCTATGTATATATCCTTTTGAAATGGGCTTTTTCCAGTCAGCGTAATACCCTTGAGGTCAGTACAAGTTGTTGCATGTATCAGTAGTTGTGTTTTTTAAACTTTATTTAGTATTTAGCTGTGTAAAGTCCAAGAAAGTAATGACAGGCTCCAGCTTATCTTTGGCTCCATCACTAACATGAAGGCAAAGGTCAGCAAAGGAAACAGCCTCACAGGGTGATCTCTCTCTCAGGCCTCCTCTTTCTCAGCCTTTTCTCTCCCCGGGCACAAGCAGAGTGAGCACACCTGTAGTCCCTTGACTTCTGTTCTGATGCCCTCTGCCCACTGTGCCTTCACTCTACAAGCCCTGTAGCAGCACAGGCAGTGTCTCCCATGTCACCATCCTTCCATGTCTCTCTGAGGACAGGAAGCGTGACTAATTTGCCTATTATCCCATAGCCACTGGGATTGGCTGAATTAATGAATGGGTAATTAAAGAGAACGTGAAAGGAGAAAAGTCACATAGAACCAAGTTCTAAACTGTGTTTCCCAAAAAGAACAGCCAACATTAAACTAACATAATACTTTTAAAAATGTTATGTCCTGGCCCATGTTGCTCAATGATTAGGTCATCCACCTACACAGTGGAGATTCTTAGGTTCGATTTCTGGTCAAGGGCAGGTACCTGGATTGCAAGTAAGATCTTCACCCTTGGTCTGGGTATGTGTAAGAGGCACCCAATTGATGTGCCTCTGTCACATAAATGTTTCTCTCTCTCTCTCTCTCTCTCTCTCTCTCTCTCTCTCTCTCTCTCTCTCTCTTTCTCTCCCCTCTATCTCTTTCTCTCCCCCTCCTCCTCCATCTCTCCCTTCCACACAAAAAAAAAAAAAAAAAAAAAAAAAAGTCAATGGAAAAAATTTCTTGGGTGAGGATTAACAAAAACAAGACAAAACAAAACAAAACAAAACAAAACAAAAGTTATACCATCCAATATCCCAAATTTCTTAATCTACAGAAATGAGTTGTTTCTCCCAATAGCATCAAACACTCAAATCAGAGAGATTATTCCTAAGTTAAGGAAGAAATAACAAATGCCAAAAACATATTTTTTATGGTCACTTTAATACCATTCATTAATGATCTTTACTGAAACAGAGGTGGCCTGAATACCTATCTCCATATATTTTTATAAGTATTAATAACCAAGTACACTAAAAGGAAGTTGAAGCAAAATACCAAATCTTTTCTAAGACTTTTAGCAACATTAAACAAACAAACAAACAAACAAACAAAACAATACATATACTCCAAACCTTATATTAGTAATCACTTCTGTCCATAAATGGTCAATAAAAGTTCAGAGACAACTGTCTGGTGCAAGAAAAGAGCATTTCAATTATATTTGGAGAATGAGAAAAACTGTATCTCCTTGGAGCTTGATTACGGCTTGCAAGGATGACCTTTGCACTCCTGAGAAAAGGTGTACTGCTAAGTCCGGGGAATGAGCACAGCTGAAAGATAAACAGAGGAGAGGGCATCACAGCCACATCACAGAGCAATATCTCATGCTTTCCAGTAACATTGTCCAAACTCTGGGCATGGAGAGCATTCAGGGCACAGCCCCAGTCAGAACACAATTTCCTAAAACAGGAATGACTACTTGATGTTGATGTGTTTTACTACATTCTAAAGATTTCCAGTTTTTCTTAGAATTCCTTTTTTTTTTTTTAAAACAAAATCAATTCACTTTCAGACTCAGAAAATAAACCGTTTATATGATTCAATAAGATCTAAAGTATGTTCCTGTATATTCAGACATATGCACACAAAATAAAACCATGTCCCTACAAATAAAATAAGCTAATGTAAACTAAGATGAAGTAGCACCAATATGTTTTTGCAATCAATATACATCAGACAGCTGCCAGTGAGTGGTAGAAATGAGGCAACCAATCTTATGACAAGCACAGGCAGCCTCCAAATATGGAAAAGGGCAGCCGTGGACCTGGAAGTCTTACTAACACAATGGGATAATGGCTGTCTTCCCCCAAACCCACCCAAGGGCTGGCAACAAAAAATTTTAAATGCCTCAAAACTAAGACAGAGTCTCAACAAAGCTATCTTTGGGGGCTATCTTGGTAAAGCAAGGAAACACCCCCATTGGATTCCCACCTCGGAGCCACCTGGAGACAGAAGGGACTAGGGTTGCACCCTGGTGGTGGTGGTGGTGGTGGGGGGGGAGAAGGACGACTGCCTGGGGATGGAAGAGTGATTCTTCGGACAGGCTCTGAGGCTGGCTGCAAGGGAGCTACTGGGGGCCACATTCTGGGGTTCCCCAGAACTTTAAAACAGCATTCTGGCCCTAGCTGATTTGGCTCAATGGATAGAGCGTCGGTCTGCAGACTGAAGGATCCTGGGTTCAATTCCTGCAAAGGGCACATGCCTGGGTTGCTGGCTCAATCCCCAGTAGAGGGCGTGCAGGAGGCAGTCAATCAATAATTCTCTCTCATCATTGATGTTTCTATCTCTCCCTCTCCTTTCCTCTCTGAAATCAATAAAATATATTTAAAAAAAAAAACACATTCTGTTCCTTTAGTCAATAAATAATATAAGTAATTTGTTAAATATGAAAGAAAAATACTAGACAGTCAAGTCACTTGGGAAAATTAGACACTTAGCTTTTTAAAACGCCAAGAAAATCCATTCAACCACTGGTTGTAAAAGCAGGATTTCCAAGGCAAAGATAAGATGTGAAACCACTTGTTTTCTAGCAGGAATTATGGTACTGTCTTCAGTCCCTTGGGGCCCCACCCACCTTGATGAGCATCCTCAGAGCTTTCACTCCAAGGAAGCTCTGGCAGATGCTATCTAACTTCCTGTCCCGCCCACCTGGAGTCCCTCCTCCGCTCCTTAATCAGGGCCTTACCCACAGGCTACCCACAGGCTGTGGTGCTGAGCCTCCAGGATTGGGAGAAGCTCCTTCCTAAGACCCGCTGTCCAAAACTAAGACCACAAAGTCACAGAAGCACCAACCACCGGCGACTGCAACCTCTACCTCAGTGCAGTGTCACCTGGTAAACCCAATGAGAGATGAGACACAGACCCTCCCCACAGGAGCCAGGTGCGGGGCAGGGACGGCTCTACCTGGGCACCACCCCTCCTTCCCTTCCGAAGCCTACTCTCACCTGACCTTTCCTGCATTTAACTGGCTCCACAGCTTTCCTCCACCAGCGAAGAGCATTAGAGTCATAAACTGCAAATACTGCAGTTACATTGCTAATACCACTTAACACCCTTTGCCTCACTTTTTTCATCTGTAAATGGAAATAATGTTCCTAAGGATAGAGACCAAGAGGTCATGTCTACAGACTCCAACATGCCTACGGCCAGACACACTGACAATCAGAGTGAGTGAATGAATGCATCTGAAAGCCCACTTCCAAGGAGCAAACCTCAGTAAATACACCCTACTGCTCCCGGCCCTCTCACAGGGAACAGCCTGGTGCACACCCCACAGCCACACCGCCCTGTGCTCAGGGACCCAGAAGATTCAGCAGAATGGAAAGCAGGCCCACCTGGAAGGACGTGGGAACACAGATGAGGTTCAGGTTCTCCTGCTTCACTCGTTCAGCTGTGGAGAGAGAAACCATGGCGGTGGGTCTTCACTCTCTCACTTCACTTTTCTTGTCTTGGACACGTTTGCTCAAATCCAACAGAAAAGTAAAGTCTGCCTTTCATACCATACCCCCCTTTTTGACAAAGTTGGTGAACATACCTCACATATCACAAGACAGGACAGTAGAAAGCCTAAGGCAGTAGTAAGTACTAACTATGGAAGAGCAACGCCAGTGTCTGCTATTATGTGCCTGGCAATAGTCAAGGAACTGTGTGTGCCTGTGAACTCTTTTAATCCTGAAGGTCAGTTATAACCCAAAGGAAAAGGTACAATTATTACCTCCATTTTACAGAAGAGGAAACTAAAGCAGAGAGGTAGAGTATGTGGGTAGTTACACAGCTAACAAGGGGCAAACTGGAATATGACCCCTGGCGGTCTAGCTTCAGTCTTAAATACTTCTCTATACTGCCTTTTACAGGGAAAAGCTAGAAGTCAATTTTCACATTTAATACAAAAAATACAATCATTTGCAGACCCCAGCGGGTTGTTAGAGTGGGTTTATTCATGCATTTGGGGATTGCACCTTTCAGGAAAACTTGATTTTTAAAAATATTAAAATACACATACACACAAAACAAAACAAACAAAACAAACAAAACAAAACAAAACAAAAAAACACTGTCTTGTTGAACTTTAAGTTATATATATATATAATATATAATATATAATATAATATATAATATATAATATATAATATATAATATATAATATATAATATATAATATATAATATATAATAACATATAACATATAATATATAATATATAATATATAATATATAATAATATATAATATATAATATATAATATATAATATATATTATATAATATAATATATATGACTTTATATATACATATATATACATATACATACACATATATATGTGTGTATACATATTGATTCTATATGTATATATGTATATATGTATATATGTATATATACATATTGATTCCAGAGAGAAAGGGAGAGAGAGAAACATCAATGATGAGAATCATTGACCAGCTGCCTCCTGCATCCCTCAACTGGGGATTGAGCCTGCAACCTGGGGATGTGCCCAGACCAGGAATTGAACCATGATTTCCTGGTTCACAGGTCAATACTCCACCACGGTGCCTCACCTGCTGGGATAAATTTAAGTTTTTTTCATCACTGGGTTGAATCTTGTGAGGTTGAGATGTCACTATTACAAAACCCACAGCTAATTCTTGAACTTAAAATTCTCCCCTCACTCAGTGCTAAGGCCCAAGGATGTACAGTTACAGCCCCTGTTCGGCCCATGAGGAGCTTCCAGAAGCCAACACACCAGCACCACGGCCACTCCTTAAAGACTGGGTGGTGCTGGACTTTGTCTCCTGAGCACTTTGCCCTGGAACTAGAAGAGGCCAGCACTCTAGCAAACCTCTCCTCTGGGCTTTGTTCTTACAAACAAAAGCAGGCAGTAAAGCCTGTGGAGTAGCCACAGGGGCTGGGAATTCCTGCGCCTTCCTAAGCACAGAGACACCCTAATTAGAAAAGCCAGCTCCGGCAGGAACCAGGCAGCAAGTACAGGGACCTCAAATTCACTTCAGGTCAAGCCTGCACTGACCTGAATTTGTTTGCCTGAGGGTCAGAAAGCTTGCGCCTCAGGGTCCTAGACACACACACACACACACACACACACACACACACACACACACACACGAGGATTAAAATTCTGTAGAAACCTCACCTAAGTTAGCTCCTCCCTCCAGTTGAGCAGAGTAAACAAAACTAGGGCAACCCCTAAAGGTGGCTGAAGAGATAGAAGGGTCCCTCTCTAAGGGAAGAACAGAAACACTCCAATGACCTCAGGCAAGCAGTCCTCTTCCCAGCTCCTTGTGGCTGGAGACCAATCCAGCACTTGCAAAACCTCTGCCCCCCACCTTTTTACCTCTCCACACCCACCCACCACACAAACACCCCAGAGACAGCTCAAGAACATGCCCACTCACTGCATGTCCACTTTTGTAGAACTACTTCCCATTCCCAGCACTTGGCCATTCTGTCTGAAAAAGGGAGGAAAAATAAAGTTTTTTTAAATTTTTAAAATAAAGATAAAAACTTATTAACACCATCTTTTATTTCCTTTTCAGCTGACTCCCAGAGCTACAAGACTATTATGACAGTAGTTCACCAGCAGGGTGAAGGCAAGCACTGTGCCCATTTTATAGGAACATAACCAGCGACCCTCAAAGAGGGTCTTTATTACAGTGCCCACAGGCAGTTCATCAGCCGAGCCCTTCTCCTTTCATCTGACACTGACATCACCATCTCCTCCTGTTGAGACACACTGGGCAAGATTACAAATGTTAGGAGCTTATTTGAGCAAAATCTGGTTCAAATTGGGCAGCATCCAAACTAGCAGACAGAGAGGAGCTCCACGGAACTGTCCAAAATGAAAGACTTTCATAGACTTCCCTCTAAGGCAGTGGTTCTCAACCTTTCTAATGCAGAGACCCTTTAATACAGTTCCTTATGTTGTGGTGACCCCCCAACCATAAAATTATTTTTGTTGCTACTTCATAACTGTAATTTTGATACTGTTCTGAATTGTAGTGTAAATATCTGTGTTTTTTAATGGTCTTAGGCTCTACAGCAGTGGTTCACAACCCATAGGTTTTATGGTTGGGGGTCACCATAACATGAGGAACTATAATAAAGGGTCTCGGCATTAGGAAGGTTGAGAATCATTGCTCTAAGGGATGGTAAAGTCTATCAGTCAGAATACCTAGCTAGTACTCATCAGGTGATTCCTGATGGAGACACACAGAGACCACACCTGATGAGGTCCTTAGGAAATGGTGTCTAGCATCACTCTCATTGTGCAGTTTGGGAAACTGGAGAGGCCCAGAGAGGCACAAAGGCTTTCCAGGGCACAGAAATGATAAGAAAAAGGAAGTGTGGACTCAGCTTTCTCCTCCAAGCTGCAGACCTGGGACATTCCCAGAGAGCTGGTGGAGGGCTGTTAGGTATCGGTGTACAGGTATGGAGATGGCATGGGTGAGGAGGGTGAATGATTAACAACCAGAGGGGGTTTTGGGGGCTTTGATTGGAGGAAGGGGCCCAAGTCATGGAATCTTAGAGGTAACCTCACTTCCTTGGTGACAGACTGCCCAACAGAGATGAGAAATCTGGTAACCAGGGACCCACATTCTAGCTCACTGGACTGGAGACAGTCAGGAGAGTAGGATGTTTCTCTGTTGCTTCCCAACTTTCCAAGGCTCTGGGCAGAAGAAAGCCCAGAGTGAGAGATGTTTCTGTTGCTGTAGGTGTCTACTTTGGCGCAATCGCCACCATGGATGCCTCTTGCCCTCTGACAAGAGGCAGCCTCAGGTAACTGAGGGCAGCCCAGAGCAGGCCCATCCAGGCCATACCCCAACTGGGTCCCCATTTGGCCAGCCCCAAACACCTTTTACCCCTTATCGTGTGTGTGTGTGTGTGTGTGTGTGTGTGTGTGTGTGTGTGTGTTGGGGCTGGTGATGGAAAGTGGAGGGTGAGGGGCACTCATCCTGGGCAGGAGCTGGTTGTTGGTCTGGTGAGTCTGTGATGTTCATACCCCAGGACATGACTGGCGGGATGGAAACATGAGTGCTGGGGACCAAGCTCCTCTACACACTTGCTAACCTTGAGCCTTCAAGGTGTCATCTCGTGCTTTCTGTGGTTGGAGGTCTTTGCAGATGCCCCTCTGTGCCTGATCTGGGGAGTGGAATTTGTGGTGGGCATTTCCCCCAGCTGGCAATGCCCAGGCTGGCCACGATGCCTCCTGGCCCGGCACCGGGCTCTGTCTTTGTAGAGCTCCGAGGAGGATGTCATTGAGGAGCTGGCTGATGGGTTTACTTACACTATCAACTGGAATAAGGGACTAGAGCACCAGGCCAGGAACAGCTTCCAGTGCAGGTCTGAGGTGAGAACTGTCCCACCCCCATGACCTGAGATGACTGGGTTGGGACCAGAACCCAGACTCAAATCTGGGGCCCACTTCCAAAGACAGCTGTACCTCCAATACTCCCGTCCGGGTTCCTGGTAGGGTAGGTATACAGTCTTCATATACAATATTTGTTAGAATAGTAGAGAAAACATGTTTTTCAACTGTCTTTATATTTAGCTAGTTTTTATTGTTTAACTACCTGCCCAGTCCTTGCATATCTCTGCAAGGATTAAGATATTGGCCACATTTCTCTGCAACTTGTCATCTCACAGAGCATGACAAACCATTGCAGGCTGACCAGGGCAGCAGCTGTGGCCTTACTCATCTCCATATCATCCTGTAAAGGAGGTAGTTTTCCTCAGTGATTCAGCCTTTCAGGGCTGTAGGACCTTGGCATGATTCAATTCTGTGGGGATGTTCCTAACACAGTCTGCTAGGTCCTGTCTCAGTCTGCTAGGTTCTGTCTCAGTCTGCTAGGTCTGCCATAACACAGGACCATAGATTGGATAGAAGGTTCCCAATGCCTATTGGCTCAGTCCCCAGCTCTGTCTTTGCAGAGCTCCAATGAGGACATCTTTGAGGAGCTGGTTCACGGACCCCACTACACCATCTGCCAGGTCAGGGTGCAGGTGCATCAGGCTGAGGTGAGAGCTGACTCACACCCAGAACCCCAAGATGACCAGGGCAGGCCAAGAACCCAGACTCAAATCTTGGGACTGCTCCAGGGTCCTCTCAGGGTGTTTCCACTAGTGTCCCACAGTCCCATGCACAAAGGAATCTGGACTGCCCTTTCTCCTGCCAGCTATATGGGAGGCTAGAAAGACACTCCGCACATTTGTAGGAATATTAGAAATAAAAAATACATCTTTCATTTCACAGTAGGACACGAGTACATTTACATTTTCCTATTTATGTTCTCTAAACTACCTGCTCCAGGTATCCTGTGGAGCAGTCAGCTCTACTTCCTTGCAGACCATCTCCACCAATGGAGGTTGTCTACCACGGATGCAGCCTTTCCATGCAGCTGGACATTGCCGTAACTCCATTCAGGTACCACATCAGCAGGGTTGCCAGGAACACTTAAGTGTATCTGAAAGGACTGTATAAGTTTCCTTATGCTGCTATAACATCATTGATTGTTACATACTGGCTGTTGTAAGCAGCAGGTTTATTTTATTTTCTCACAATTCTGGAGGCTACAAGTTAGAGAGGTGGGTTTCAGCAGGGTTGGTTCTTCTGAGGGGTTTCTTGTTGGCTTGTAGATGGACGTCTTCTATCTCTGTGTCATATCGAGTTCCCTCTATGCTTCCATGTGCCCTCTCCTCTTCGTCTAAGGACACTGGTCATATTGAACCCACTCCACTGAATTCCTTTAACCATAATGAGTTGCTTAAATAATCAGGCACATTCTAAAGTTGTAGGGTTTTAAATAAACAGGCACATTCTAAAGTTGTAGGGTTTTAAAGTCATGGCATTTGGATGATACAATTTAGACAACAATGTATATATGACTCCCAGCAGGAGACATACGCCCACTGGTGGGAGGACACACATGTCAAATTATAACAGCTGCAGCCAAATTCCAAATTGAAAAGGCTGTAGCAGTGATATTGCTAACATCAGTTTTGTGATGATGGCTGCTGCCTCACACCCAATCTGGCCCAGGGATCTCTCACTCATTTCAAGTTTGACCAATCCAATGCCAGGTTGTCCGAGGCAATCACAGTGTTCTTTGATTGTCAATTGCCTCATGGGTACTTTGACTCACCTGTCAGCTTTTCATCAGCCACATGGACTGGTTCCTTCATGAGTCATCTGCTCAGACACCTGCCTGATAATAGTCTTTCTTCAGTCTGGAGTCTCCAGACACTTGTTCCTGTCTGCATCTGGAATCCCCAGCATGAGGGTCTCAAAACACCTTTTAATGTAAAAGGAAGAAACCTTAAGTGTCAATTGGAAGTCACTGGTTTTCATAGCCCCTGTCTATCCTGTCCACTGTTCCCAAAACTGTGTAGGAACAAGGTTCATAGATCCTATCCATCCATGCCAGTAACAGAGAAGTGTTAAGTAGCTAAGAGGGGATGTCATGCAGCCCTAGCTTAGGATAGCTCTCAGTTCTGACCTGCAGGACCTTGAGCAGCCATGTGATATCCCTAAGCCTCTGTGTTCTCATCTCTATAATGGGGATGTTTCTTGAGGACTAATGGGGACAATGCTCTTTATACAGCCTATTAATACTGTTGTTCCTCAGCTAAAGAAACATACCTACAAGGTTAATAATTGTATACACATCCTCTCACCTACCAAATTTAAGGCACACCTTTAAAACCCAGAACTTTGTTCAGCGTGGATCCTCCTGTCCCTCCTCTTGCACACACCCCTGAGGGGCTAGGAGTCTCTGGCTGAGCTCCAGATCAGTCCTCCAGGTGGTTCACGGGGATGCCACTGATAGGATCTCACCTCGTGCCACCCAGTGTGCAGCTGAGTTAACACTTAACCTACACGAGGCCCGCAGGATGCGAGCCCTTCAGGCAGGCACACTGTGGAGAGTGGCAGCATCGTTGGTACCAGCTTTCCTGGCTGGAAACATCTCCCACATCACCACCTTTATGCCCAGTCACCCAGCCTTCTCTAGAGCTCAACAGTTCCTGGACCAGCTGTTTACGAGGTGAGCACGTGCCCCCTTCCTCTGCACAAAGGGTAACTCTGCCCACTGCTAGCTGTGTGCTTTCTCTCTGAGCCTCAGTTTGCCCTCTGAAAAGTGGGGTGGTAGAGACTGTGGGGACAAGCCAGGGCAAGTGCTTAAATGCTGCCTGGCTCTGCAGAAAGAGTTACTGGATGTGCAGTGGTAATTTATGGCAATTATTTCTCTCTACCCCCAGGAAAACTCACCCATCAGTGGCCTGTGTCATTGGTGGGGTTTCATCTTTCACTTTAAAAAAAAAAGTTTTTATATTTTTATTGGCCTGTGGCATTTCTGAGTTTGCAAAAGCAAATGGAAAACAACCAGCCAACAGGTTTGAGAATCAGCTTTGCTGATCCTGGTTATTGTCTTTGGTATTGGCAGATTAGGGATTCCTGGGGATAAAGGGCTCCTAGGCCCACTCAGCTATCTGGAACAGTTTTGGTTGGTGTTCATTTATTCGACAACTGTATTAAGCACCTACTATAAGTCATCACTTTTGAAGACACTTAGCATAACTTGGCCAATGAAGCAGACACAATCCTTGGGCCTCAGTTCTACTCAGTGAGTCAGAGTCACACTGTCCATCTTTAACAGGTCCTGTCCCTTATCCATCAGAGCTGATGTTTTCCACTTCAGGAGGCTACCTCCTTATAATGACCAGAGAGACACATCACAGGACCAAATCAAAAAGTGAGTGTGGTCTTTGGGTCCAGAAGAAGGGTCTCTGTGTCTACAGGATGGAGGCTGTGGGTGAAGAGGGCCTGGCAGATACTTTTCATTCCCAAGGGAGGCCTGAGCCCCAGTGGCTTCTATTCTGGGAGGAGTCAGAGAGGACTGTGGATGGTGCTCCCAGCCTCATAGAACTGAAGCAGAGAGGAGATGAGGAGTCCCCCAGAGTCCCAAACCCACCCCGATCCCATCCTGCTCTGCCTGCCCCTATTTACAGTCATCTCTCCTGACCAGCCACCAGGCTCAGCACAGGTCATGTAGTGAGCAACCTGCTCCCAAATCTGTCTCAATCCTCAGTGTAGATGCCAGGTGCATGGTTGGTTGGGCTGGGCAGGGGACAGAACCTTCAGGACAAATGTCATTAGGAAGAAGAGACTCACATAGACTCCATGTGAAAGCTAAACTGCCAGGCCTGCTAATCTCAGCACAGCCACACAAAGGTCAGGGATGGCATGGGGCTCCCCCAGATGGTCAGGGCAGGCACAGAGGCTCAGTGCCAAACCAGGGTGCCATAGGAAGGCAACCTACCTCTAACCGGGGCCATTGCTTCTATGATGGGAACCTGGCCCGACCAGGTGTGGGGTTTTGGCCAGGCTCTCCACTTCCCCTGGTTCCAGCTGAAGCAGGCCTCAGTGCAGGTCCACTTCCTAGCCTCTCATTGTGTGGCCTGCACCCACCTTGTTTGGATTGAGCTGGAGAATCTACAAGGCCATGTCAGAAGGTGAGGGGCCTGCAAGCTGGGAAGGTGATATGGGGAGGGGAGATTCTCAGGTCAGAATTCTCTTAAAGGCAGTGGCATCTTTTCTGTCTTTGGAAAGGCCTGGGAAAGCAGGTGTGTGCATGAATCTGTTTCTCTCTCCTGCTCCAGGTCCAACTCTAGGGCTCCAGAGCACCCCAGAGCCAGAGGAAGGGTCTTCTCAGGGGGAGATATTTGGTCCAGCCAGAGGCCCCTCCCTGACCTGGCCTGGCATGAAGCTGTACTCAAAGCCATCACAGAGGTGTCTTTGTGAGCCATATGTTTTCTGTCTTAAAAATTCTAAGTAATTATCCTAAACAAATCCTATGCAATAAAGAGATAATATGCAAGTTGACCATTACTCCAACACACAAGATGGCCACCCATGTGGACACAAGATGGCGGACACAAGATGGCCTGCAGGGGAGGGCAGTTGTGGATGATCAGGCCTGCAGGGGAGGGTAGTTGGGAGGGACAAGGCCAGAAGGGGAGGGCAGTTGGGGATGACCAGGCCTTCAGGGGAGGACAGTTGGGAGCAACCAAGCCTGCAGGGAAGGGCTGTTTGGGGGGACCAGGCCTGCAAGGGGGTTAATACAGGATGACCAAATGACTGAACAGCAGGCTGTATGGGGTGACCAGGCTGGCAGGGGGGGCAGTTATGGGTGACCAGGCTGGCACAGGGGGGGAGGGGAGGAAGTGCGGAGGTAGGTACAGCGAGGAGCAACCAGGCTAGTGGAAAGGGGAGTTAGGGGCAATCAGACTGGTGGGGAAGGGCAGTTGGGGGGGCAACCAGGCTGAGGGGGGAGGCAGTTGGGGGTGACCAGGCCATCAGGAGAGGCAGTTAGGGATGATCAGGAAGATAGGCAGGTGAATAGTTAGGAGCCAGTGATCCTGGATTATGAGAGGGATGTCTGACTGCCGGTTTAGGTCTGATCATATGAGGGGTTCCAGATTGGAAAGGGTGCAGGCTGGGCTGAGGAGACAACCCCTCACCTGTGCATGAGTGCATGAATTTTGTGCACCAGGCCTCTAGTATAGGATAATAACCATGGGGCCAGTTCAGCCACAACACTGGTTCTGAGAAGAGAAATGTCTGGGGTTCACACTAGTAGTACAGGCCCCAGGGAGTGCCTCAGGCATTTCCAGCTCACAACATCACTGGCCTTAAGCTGAGACCAACACAGAGCAGTGAGATCTTTGTTGTGATGGACCACTTCAATGCCTCTTGATTGTAGTAGTGGTTACATGAATTTACAATGTATAAGTGTCTATACTGTACCAATATTAATTCCCTGGTTTTTATATCCTACCTAATAAAAGAGTAATATACAAATTAACCATCACTCTGCTACACACACAAGCCATGCCCACCAGCCAATCAGAGCGAGTATGCAAATAAACCCAACCAAGTTGGCTACAGCCACAGAGAGCAGGAGGGAGGCTTGGATTTTCCAGGCAATGGAGGAAGCCAAGCTTTCCGCCTACCCTTGCCGGCCTAAGCCTCCACTCAAAACTACAAAGTTTCAATTATAGAAGGTAAACAAATCCAAACAGAAATGGCAGCAGCCATGGAGCAGGAAAGAGTGGAAGGCTAGGGTTGCCTCTGGCAACAGAGAAAGCAAAGCTTTCTGCACACCCTGGCCAGCCCAGGCCTCCACTCCAGGCTACAAAGTTTCAATTATGGAAGATATATAAATTCCAACAGAAATGGCTGCTGCCATGGAGCAAGCAGGAGGCTTGGCTCTGCTCCAGGCTACAAAGTTTCAATTGTAGAAGGTAAATAAATTCCAGATACCAGGGCCTCCTCTTGGGTCACCAGGGGGTGTGTCTGGCCTGCAAACCACCACAGGCCCCTTGCTCAGCCACCCCCACCCCAAAGGAATCCCCACCCTGATCCGGGACACCCTTCAGGGCAAACAAGACATCCCCCACCCATGCAACAGGCCTCTAGTCTATCTAATAAAAGAGTAATATGCAGATTGACCATCACTCCAATATACAATAGCTGCCCCCATGTGATCAAAGATAGCTACCCCCATGTAGACACAAGATGGCCACCACAAGATGTCCAGCAGGGGAGGGCAGTTGTGGAGAATAGGCCTGCAAGGGAGGGCAGTTTAGAGGGACCAAGTCTGAAAGGGAGGGCAGTTGGAGGTGATCAACCCTGCAGGGAGGGCACGTAGGGGTGACCAGGCCAGCAGAGAAGGGAAGTTGGGGGCAAACAGGCTGGCAGGAGAGCAGTTAGGCATCAATCAGGCTGGCAGGGGAGTAGTTAGGGATTGATCAGGTTGGCAGGCAGAAGTGGTTAGGGGTGATCAGGAAGGCAGGCAGGCGAGCAGTTGGGAGCCAGCAGTCCTGGATTGTAAGAGGACAGTCGGACATCCCTCGGGGATGGACCAGGAATCCGGACATCCCTTGCCCTCCATTCCTTGATTGGAGAGAGTGCAGGCTGGGCTGAGGTGCACCAGGCCTCTAGTTGTAGCATAGTTGGGAAAGAGGTAAAATATCTATAATTTCCTGTTAAAATGTTTAAACGCATACAGTTATATTATATGTAAACTATAGTGCAATAAAGTTAAAATTTTAAAGTGTTTTTTTAAATGTTGGGCAAAATGTAGTAGAACAGCCTGAATTTATGCTTTGGAGCCAGAAAGAATTGCATTAGACCTTTTTATTTTCTTATTTAATGTCAGAGAAAAGTCATAACCTCTCTGATATCTATTTTATTATCTGTGTCTAAATTGATCCTTCAGTGTTGAATCAACAGGCCGCCTCACACCCCAAGAGAATATGTAGATTATTTCAATCCTGTAATATGGATGGTATAATACCTAATAAAAGAGTAATATACAAATTAACCATCCATATTACAGGGTTGAAATAATCTATATAGAATACCTAATTCAAGTAAGCATTCCACAGATTTTCCTTACCCCATTATGAGATTTCTCTTATAAAATATTTCACAAATTATTTAAAAATTTCTTTGTCAGTTTTCTCTATACTAGTGGTTGGAAATATAATTATAGCATGAGACTCTTCCAGCTCTTAGCTTTATGATTCTATGGCCCAATAAATTCATTCAACTCAGGAATTATGGTTTACCAGGGAGCAATGCTAACAGTTACCACCAGGTGGCAGGCCACTTCTCTATTGTGGCCGTAGAATACTTAAGTCCTTGTAGCAGTTACATTAATTTACAATGTGTTAAGTATTTACACTGCATCAGTATTAACTTCCTGTTGATTCAACATTGAAGGATCAATTTGGACGTGGAAAGAATGGTAACCAGCTATATTTAGATTATAAAGTCTTTCTCTGTTTCCTGCTGTGAGGAATTTCTGGAACAGCTCAGTTTCTCCAGATTGGCTGGCCCTGAGGTTTTGGATGTGATCCAATAATGTACTCAGTTAAACTTGGTTCAAGAGTTTATCAAATATTTATCAAGCTCAGATGACAGACACTGTGCAAAGGGCTGGGGACCAAGCCACATTAAGTGTTGAGGATGGATGGCACATTTGCTTCTAGGTCCTAGAACCTAGCGTGTGTGTGTGTGTGTGTGTATGTGTGTGTGTGTGTGTGTGTGTTTATTGCAAGGTGTTTTCCTATAAAATCCTCCTATATGCATTTATACAAGGTACTGCAAAAAAGTATTTGTTCTTCTTTGGTATCTACTCATATGACCTGAGCAAAGCTAAAACAAAACAAACCTGGGCAAAAGTAATTTAGTTGATTTCAGGCCAACTGATGCATCTTCTCAAGATATCTGGGGTCATAGGGTAACCAACTTGTCTCAGTTTTCCTGGGTCTTTCCCGGTTTTAGTTATAAAGGTCTCACATCAGTGAGACCCCTCAGTCCCAGGCACACGGGGAGGGTTGGTCCCCCGACCTACGGATGGCGTTTCTCTTCCCCCAGGCTGCGGGGATTTCTAATGGGGAAATGGGAGTGGATTTCAGAATGGCCTATCGTGGGTTGTCACTAAGCCTGTCTATCACGGGGCCTGCCAGTCAGAGCCCGAGTCCAGCTGTCAAGCAGACCTACAGTCGCCTTTTGAATCCCGGGACAGTGCCCACAATAAATCGGAGACAGAAAAGCCTGGGAAAGTGCAGGAAGGTCAGAGGAAGGCCACTGAGGAAGTGGCATCTGAGCCTCCAAGCCCTGGGGAAGCTGGGACAGACAGAGGGACCAGCTGAGGACAGGGCTGAGACGGAGAGGAACCAGGGCAGGGGAACACGCCTCGCTCAGTGTGCAGCAGAACGCGGGAAAAGGTGCCGGTGAGTCTGGGAGGGTCGGCAGAGGCCGGTTGGGGTGTGGTCCTGTGGGTCTCTGCGAGGAGTTTGGAATTTGTTCTCAGCAAAGAGAAGCCCTGAGGAGGGGAAGGACCCCGCCCAGTTTGTGTTGTAAACCCATCCCCCTGGCTGCTGTGGGGAAGATGGACAGTGAGGGAGCAAGTATGAACAAAGAAACTGTTAGGAATAAAGCCCATTGGGAAGTGCCCGCCGTGTGAATTGTAAGACAGCCGGGCCACCACCTGAAGGTGCAAGGCCAGGTGCAAGGAGAGACGGTGCCGCACAGCAGCTCCTCAGCCTGAACCTCCCGCTTCCATGTCCCACTTTGCAGCCAAGAAGCAGTGCAGCCGCTCAGCCTGGGGTCTGGCAATCTGTAAAGTGGGCCCAGGGTGACCCCATAGATAGGCACCCAGCTCTTAGGGCCCCGCTGTCCACAGGGCTTCCCCTCCAAGCAGCAGAGTGAGGAGGGATGAGTGAGGAGAGGTGAGGAGGGGTGAGTGAGGAGGGGTGAGTGAGGAGGGATGAGTGAGGAGAGGTGAGTGAGGAGAGGTGAGTGAGGAGGGATGAGTGAGGAGGAATGAGGAGGGATGAGTGAGGAGAGGTGAGGAGGGGTGAGTGAGGAGGGGTGAGTGAGGAGGGATGAGTGAGAAGTGAGTGAGGAGGGGTCAGTGAGGACAGGTGAATGAGGAGTGAGTGAGT